GTGGGCAGCACCCGGCCGGGAGCCAGGAAGCGGGGGCAGCGCCCTCCTCCCTTCTCTCCTCACTCCCAGGCAAAACACCTTTTCCGGTTCCTTTGTCCCAACTTAAATAGGGCATCGATTGGTTCAACCCCAGCCTGAGAGGGATGAGGGTCCGATCTGGGTCTGACCCGGTTCTGAAACCAGGGAAGTCGCAGGGAGCAAATCCCCTCTCTTGCCACCAGAACTCCTTCACGCAAACCCAGCATATCCACAAAATGTAATTTTATAAATGTTAACCACCAAAACAATAGTATATTCGTATTTCGATAGGGGTTTTTTTTACCACCTGCAATTTTAGTTTTTCTGTCTGTGAAGCAAGGGTTTTTTGTAACTGTTTTTAAACGAGATGATCTCATAGAAAAGCAATCGGGATCCGATATATGCATGCACTTTCTCATCTGTATGTTCTTGTTAACCTTTTAAAATTGACTTTTTTGTTAATACATGAAAGCTGCTGTGTAAGTGTCTAGCTTTTTTTGCAGGAATTTGTGTCCGTTTTATTTAACTGTTTTTAAAGCACAGTGCTGTGCAGTGGCGCTTTCTGAATAGCTGCTAATTGTATTGCTCTCTTAATTGACCTTTTCTGTCTAGTGTGATACGCCTTTCAATTTTCTACACTTTAGGTTGATTACATTATATTGAAGTTTTAGGGCCAGGAACTATATTATCTCCTTACTAATATAAAGTGCTTTGTACACCTGTTCATGGCTAAAATAATACTCTTTTTGACCTTCTTATGCAAGAGGCAGCTTGATAAGCTGTTTCTAATTTTTCCTTCTAAATTCAGTACTCATTTGAGCACATAGTTCTGTAAGAGCACTGCATAACCTAGAATTTCAAAGCATTTAGCTTTGGTCTAATGTTTCATCTTAAGTCAACGATAATTTAACTATGGCCTTCATTACATCAGGCATAGAGTTTATTCAGTACCTTGAATGTGACATTTCACTGGCAGCATTAGAAAAGCAACTAGTACAAAAGAGTACCATGCTGAATTTAAAAGCTGTTCTTACATTGTTTAGAAAACTAACTCTTACTCCTTGTTTTATATTCATCTCGTATGATTGCATTAGTTGGTGGTGTACCAAAAGTGCATATATTGCGTAGCTATGTCAGTGTTGTTTATTCACTATAATTTTGTATGCCTGTTTTTTGCTTTTTAAAACCCGTATTTGGACTGGTTTTTTGTAGAATTCTTAATGAATTTTCATAGGAAGCCCATTTCTGCTTACATTAAACAGGAAAAGGACAAATAACATCTGGCAAAGGGAAATCATAGCTATTGATTCCCTGACATAGTGCTAACACAGCTCACAAACATGGCTGTGAGAAAAATACAGCACTTGCTTGCTGATACGATGTATTAGTTAGCCATTTGTTGTATGTTGCTGACAGCTTTATGGATGTTTACAGTTAAGGATGATGCTGAAGTGCTGATACTAGGAATTGTGTAGCTTTTGCTTGTAATAAAACAACCAAGATTTTGTGTAAGCTTTTTGGAAATTGCAGACCTCTCTTTTTATTGTGTATCTTTTTATAAACTGCCACTTGTCTTTTTTGGATAACAGAAATAACTATTCTTCCTCTGTGTTGTGTGGTGTGTGAATAATTTTAAAAATCAGTTTACTTAAATAAGTTTATTACTGCCAGTAGGCCTTAGAGTTTGTCGGTACGAGTCAGATTGTTTTTTGAGAATAATTTCAGTGTTGTCTGTTCAGTTGGTTGTCTTTCAAAGATTAAGACTGATTTTTATACTTCCAACAGAGCAGGTAAATATTCCATTGCCTGTTGGTAGTTACATTGTTAAAACAGCTAACAAATGGGAATTAATATAATCAGTGCAAATATTTCTTCAACCAAGGCTTTAATAGAAACTGGGACTCAAAAATGTTTTCTGTTAATCTGAAGTAATAACTTAGCTCAGTTTACATACTGTACTTTCAATAATGACGTACTGAGACTACCTCTGCAACATGATTTATTGAAAAATGTAATACGAAAAATCATAAAGAATGTGTGAAATAATGGAAGCTCCAGTGTTCTCCAGTGTCTTATGCCATTTATGGCTACTCACTTGGCGTGGTTTAACTTCTAAAAGAAATGTTGTTAAATTATGTGTACATAAGCTAACAGTGATTATGGTAAAATATCTCTCTCTAGTTTATTTGTCTAGGGTTTTTTAATATCTCTCTGTCTTCTTCTCCCTTTATTTATTTGCCCTATAGCTATAGACTCCATTTAGGAGTAAAATGAAAGGCATTTTTACCTCCAGTAGCATTGGAGAGCTAATACTCTGGGAAATAGCAAGTTCAGTTCTTTTCTGCTTTATGTCATCAGAAGCTCTTATCCCTCCATTAGTATCCATATTTCATAACACCTAGATTTTATAATGCATAAGTTATGGGTGAAATATTGCCTTATTGCTAATACCAGAACCTCTAGACACCTGCACAAATAATGCTGACAGGGAATTGCCGAGACCCTGACTTGCCCCTTAGTTAGGCAAAAGATACCAACTGACCTGCTCTTGCTTATCTGAAATTCTCACAGCAGGAGAGATTATTTTTTTTTTGGATACGCAGCATCATAGCAAGTATAGGTACAATGTCCATGTAGGCTCTACTAGCAAGTGGAAAAAATACTGGATGCTGCTATGTGTCCTTGGTTTTGGAGAGCAGATCCACAAAATTCTTGCATTCATGGTTGCATGAATTTATGGAGGCCTCAGTGATGTATCAGTAAAGCCTTCTAGATGCCTCAAGTTCCTCTTCTGAGTCCATCAGAAGGCACCTGTGGCAAAACTGATCTTCCTCCACCGATTTCACACAAGAGCTTTCTTAAAATTTGCAGGCTCCCTGTCTCTGTTTTTGCCCAGGGGACCTGCTGCCTTGGCGGAGCTGAGTGCCTCAAGCCTGAGCCCATTTGCGGTTCCTAACGTTAGTTTGCTGATGGCACAGCCCCAGGCAGGCGTGCTTAACCCTTACTAATTATGCACTGACAGCACCGAGTTCAGCGCAAGACACAAACTGCCATTCTGAGTCAGAAATACAGCCGTCAGCGCAGGGGTGAGCACAGGCTGTACAACTGCTTCATGTTCGGATCCTTCGCCAAGGGCCTTAGAGAAACAGCCTGAATCCCACGTCCTCTCTAAGAGCAGTGCTTAGTAGTCTGGGATAAGGCTTCTCCCAGCCTGCTGAAGATGTGCAGAAAGAGGTTAGGATTTGTGGAAACAGAATGCAAGTAGATCCTCACTTCCGTTGATGGAAACTTTTCCATTTGTAGATGCAGATCCGTTTATAAATCCTGCATTAAAGAGACATTTCATAAAATATATAAGCCCTGTTTGAAGCAGAGTGCTGTAGAATTGCTTCAGTGGAAATTATGAGTGCATCTGTTGCAATTCTGTTGCTATTCTGTCTCGCTTTCTAGATGGATATGCATGTCTCTAGCAGAGAAAGGTATTGATCATCACAGCCTAAAGGAGAGAGCTACTCATCAGAGGTACCACTTGAATGCCTACATCTTGAATGTAGATTTCAGACAATGCCTAAATAGATACGTAAGTCAAGGAAAATAAGTCATTATTTCCTCTCCTTAGCACAATTATCTCCGTTAGTTCTTCTACTTGTCCACGTGTGCATTGTGTGTAGGCACCACATTAAATCTGCTTTGTCAAATCCTACTGAAGGATACAAAAAAAAATTTCCCATTTAAGCCTTCCTGAAGTAACAGGTTTTACACTAATGAAAAATTTAACACCCTCAGCATGGAAGTCTAGATAGGCATAATGATTTTTCTCCATTGTATATACACTGAGTTTGTCATTATTGTCATTTATAGTTTATTCACATGTTCACACAATATGGAAAGTGATTTTGTAGTCATTTGTGCAGAAGCTACCTGCACCTCTGAGACTTGCTGAAACTGCAGTCAGCTGCATCCCATATCACTGGAACAGTGTTTCTGGGATCAACTAGATACTTTGCTGGAACCAGTGTTTTAAGATTTAGTTAGGATCTTGGGATAGGAAGGACTCTGCATATGCAGGCAGATCAGAAGTGACTCATTAATAAGATCCTAACCTGCTGTGTGCCCAGAAGCACTGACTTTTTAACAGTAGGATAGTAAGGTTGCTTTTCAGTAATTGTCTTTGTTGGATTTTGCTCTGTTGTTTACAAGTCTTGTCAAAAAAATGATTTTAAAGAAGAAAATACAGGGCCGTTTAGAGACTTAGTGGCTACTGTAGGCTAATGTTTGGTGTGCATGCTGGAAGTATATACTTGCAGCCAATCTGTGCTAATTTAAACGTTTCAAATTTGATTGACATCATTGACAAACAAAAATAACCCTTAAGGTTATTTTGAATTAATATTTTTTAAAAGGCAAAAGTTTGAGGATCAAAAGTCCATCTGGAGCAGTATCCCGGCTCCAACAGAGGGAAGAATTACAGGGCTAGCAAACAGTAAGGATAGGGAAAATGCGTGGGCTTTTTTTTCTGAGATATTACTCTCCAAACTTCCAAGTATTTTCAGCAGTGTGTATTTGTGTACTAAGTAACTGCCAGTGGTTTTCTTCAACAGTTTTGGCCTGGTTGTCCTTAAATTTGGATGAGCTTTTACAGTCTGCAGTATCATTTGCCAGAGAGTTCAACAGTGTAAAAAAAACCCAGCTATTTCCTTTTATTTACTCTGAATCTGAATCTACTAGATTGGTTTGTCTGTAAATTGGAGAGACATGGACTTGACAGATGAACCATTCGATGGTCGCACTCAAAGAGTTGTGGTCAACAACCTGATGTCCAAGTGGAGGCCAGTGACGAGTGGTGTTCCTCAAGAGTTGATATTGGGGCCAGTGCTGTTTAACATCTTTGTCAGTGACATAGACAGTGGGATCCTTTGCTGACGACACCAAGCTGTGGAAACTTCATGGGACAGAGAATTGGGTTATAAGTAAAAGTGCCTGTTGCAGTGTGCTTGTATGGGCAGTGGTGTGGGCAAGGGATGGATGCAGCCCATTGCACATGAACATGAGGAAGCAAAGCTATGCACTGTTTTAGCTTGAATTAAAATGAAGAGACAAGGAAGCCTTAAATAGTGTCCTGAAAAGAATCAGGGTTCAGTGTTTATTTATACTAATTAGATTTAACATTGCTTAATTTCAACTGTCAAGTGTCAGTGCCAAATCTCTTGGTATATAGTAGTCGCGTCATGTGGTCATACAACAGTAGTAGTTGAATTAGTCTTCAAGGGTACCAAATCACTGGATCACAGGATCTTTATTACTCGCTGGTACCTTGGTACCAGCCACGTATGATAGCACATCATTTTTATGGAACGTGAAAGAGAGGTTAAACAGACAGATTGTTTTAAACTGAGAAGTTGTTTTGTAAATGTAGCAAAATCTGATTAGTTTATTTGTAACTTGATAAGATGCAGTCTTTGAAAACTGACTATCGTCTACCCATTCTTTGGCTGGTTTTTTTTTCAGTTGTATCTATTTGTTTTATTGCACTTCTTGAAGTGGTAAGACGCTTAAGCTGATTAAGACAACACTGCATTTCAAGGTACCTAGGAAAGGCATCACAAAATTAACTGAAATAGAATTTAATGCATTCCGTAGTGTTTTTTGTAAAGCTACAGACAAGATTTTCAAGAGAATATCTGCTCTTGCATATCAAGTCACCACATTTTTCTAAGGCATCAAAGATGTCTCAGAGGTAGCAGCTCTGTACTTCAAATCTTTCAAAATAGAAGTTGTATTCTTCTGAAAATATAATCTTTGCTGTGAGTGCTGAAACTCTGGAAAATATGGTTGAGTCTGAGAATGTTGCCTGTTATATTAATAGATGAAATGTAACATATCACACTAATAAAAATTACCAACATTTAATATATTCTGCTCTGACCTGTCTCGGAGTGTCATTTTTGGTATGGAGGTAGATGGTGTGGTCCATTCTGCACTAGGGCTGAGAACCTGTGAAAAGTCTATAAAGCTCTTCATGTAATCCTAGCCAGGTTGTTAAATGTCCTTATTCCTTAACTTTGTACAGGTCAGATGTTTGTATTAACGTGATAGAAAGTATTAAAGATACACCTTTGCATATTCTAACATAAGCAAAGTATGTATCCCTGTTGTCAATCCATACAGAATACCCATCTCGCTTTCAAGGTCACTCTGTGCAGTTATGACAGCCACGACATGTTTTGGTTGATGAATGTATCTGGTAATTAATCTTTAATTACCTCAGATTTTTCTTTCTTCACAGGTTGATGATTCTAGCTGTGATGCTGAAATACTTTCCTTGCTCCTCAATGCCAAGTTAGTGGTGAAGTGCATATCCACTGCCTTCTATCCTCGCCTTATTGACCACTTACTGGCTAACCAGGGAGAAGGAGGCTGGGATGTAGAGGAAATAGCGAAACAACTTAAAGAAGCAGGTTTCAACGCAGAGGCTGGGTCCCTCTTGATGTCTCATCGAGGGACTCATCCTGCACTCAGGACTTTTACGACTGCCCTCCAGACTATTCAGCATTGGATCTAAAAATGTTGGATTTATGCATTTGTCTGCCTTTTTACTGGAGATCTTACACAGAAGGGAGAAATTGTTGTTCTAGTGAAGTAACAAAGTCAGTTATTACCTGCATTTTGTAGAAAATTCAAACAGCACAGTTACAGTGAGTTAACATATACTTGTAATAGTTTAAAAAAATGTTTGCTGTGGACCATATCATTCTGTTATGTGACTAGCAAGCATTGAATCTGATGGTCCTTTTCAGATCAGAGAAAAGTGTTAAATGATTACACTCTGTGACATACAAACGAAACATTAGTAAGATGACAGATTATATACTATTTGTCTTAATTTCTGTAAGTAATTTACTCTTGTCATAGCGTAAAACTAATGTAAAAATATAATTGTAAAGGTATATGGAGGAAAAAAAATTCACAATGAAGAGTAATTTCTGAGAATTTCAAAACTTTAAAATTTGGTATTGTGCAATGTTGCTGCCACAGCTTTTGTTTGCGATAAGTAAAATATTTTGCATTTATTGTAGTCTCTCTTCTTTCTTCCTTTTAGACAGATAAATATTTTCTTTCTTCAGACCCTTTTTCTGAAATTACTGTCTCTCCTTAGTGATGTTTATTCATAAGGACAAGCCAAACTTTTCTTTGCTTGCAGACAGTTCTAGTCTTTGAGGTATTTTTCTCCACAATTTGAGAAAGCCCATCTCAAATCCTAAACATTTGTTGATACCTTTTGTGAATGCACTTTCAAAGTATTTTACTTACATTTTTCCTGAGTTCTGAAAAGTTACATAAGTGTATTTATTTCCAAATGTCTTTGTCTTAACAAGGTGAAGTATTTCTGATTGTTTTCAGAGTTGGTTGTTTGTTTTTTTTTTTTAACAAGGGAACTGTCTGTTTATTTCACTGCATTACCAGAAGTGTTTGATGTTTCCATGTGTTTATAGGAATTTGTTGTTAAAATTAATCTGTAAATCTTTTGCCTAATCTTGTATTCAGATCTAATTTTGATGTAATCATGTACAGAAGCATTACACACTATAGCATCCATAGGGTAATACAGGTTGGAAGCAGTCTCCGGAGGTGATGCAGTCAAACCTCTTCCTCAAGGCAGGGTTCTTTTATTGTTGGAACAGGTTGCTCAGGGCTATATTCAGTTAGGTTTTGAAAGCCTCCAAGGATGAATGCCCCACTGCTTGGCCATCCCCATGTTGAGAAGCTTTTTACATTTATCTTCTTGTTTGAACCTTTCTCATTTTAGCTTCCGCCAGTTGTCTTCCATCTTCCCACCATGCATACTGCAAAGAGCTTGGCTCCATCATCTTGATAACCTGCTTGTAGGTGTTGTATCCCCCCGTAGCCTTCCCTCCTCAAAACAAACAAAACCCAAAAGAACACTCAGTTCTAGTGTGGTGATTGCATTTCATAGGTAATTTAGCTGTCTGTACCATGCCTTCAGTACAGACACTGGTGATGGATTCCATTGACACTGGTTATATTCAGTCAAAATTTGGCAACAGAGAGATCCAATTCAGGTGCAGTTGCTCTATGCTTCAGTAATAACACTCTTATCTGAGCTTTCTGCTTTTTGGGATAGCCAGCCCCTTCATTACACAGTATAGTAACAAGCTGACTATTATTGAGACAGTAAGTTCTAAAATTCTCCTTTTTCCTAAATGTCAGCCTAAATCATAAAGAAGGAAGAAGAGTGGATAAAAAGCTTGAAGTAGCTGTTTCATAACAAATTTGTATTACTGAGTTCTTTCCGAGACTTAAGGATTTAGAAATGGGTGATGACATTTTGTGGAACCAAAACTGACTCTTTTTAACATTGTCTTTGACTTAGGAACAGCTTTGTTTTATCAGCCTTTACTGACTGTGAAAATTGTTCAGATGTTAGCCTTATTTCCTATCTTACGTGGGATTCTCAGGGAGATTTTTAACAATGCTTTAATTCTTTGGATTGTTAACTTATTCTTTATGCTTGTTGGTCCCAGCTGTGCTTCAGGAAGGTTATCCCACCTGTATGGTGGGATATGGACATACATATCACATTCAAATTGGTATAATTCAGCTATATTGCCTTAATTCTGTTCTCTTGTGTTAGAAGTCTCAAGAATCCCAGACAAGTAAAGCAACATATATTGGAACTGAAAAGAAAAGAAAGGAAAAACTTAAAAAAGGTAATGTAGCTGGAAATCAGTAGATGCAGGCAAACCACAAGATATACCTCCAGCAAGAAAACTTCGGATTATTCTGTAGAAGATATTTCTGTACTTCACGATGGAGCTTTTTGGTCTGTCTGCGTGTTTTGTTCTCAGGTCAGTAAGCTCAGTGCTAGATTTTCATTCAGCATCATGAAAAGTTTCTGTTTAGTGTCACTTTAGAACTGACCTGTAGATAAAGCTCTAATGAGTGTTACTGATCTTCTGTCCATTTTCCGTTTCACTGGCATTACAAATCCATGAAGAATGTTTTCCTTGCAGCCAGGACTACTCCTGATTTAATCTGTATTCCAAACTTCTATGTATAAGGAACGGTTTTAGTATACACATCCAAAATGATCAGCCTACATTAGTGTATGTTCCAAATAAAGTTTAAGTAAAAAAAAAGGTGAAAGAAGATGCACATAACAAGGATATGTATATCCCACTGCCAGCCCTTTAGCATCTTCTGTACAGCAGGATAATGCTTGTGGCTCTGAGAGTGACCAAGATACACTAGCAACTGTCATTGTATTGCTTTGGGTGGGTTTTTTGGTTGGTTGGTTGGTTTGGTTTGGTTTGGTTTTTTCTTTTTTTTCTGGAGGAGGAAGGGTTTTTAAGGTTAAAAAATTCACCTTGGTATTATTAATAGTACTTAAGACCAAAAAAAAACCCAAAACAACTATCACAAAAGAGCTGAACTGGCACTTGAGACTGTTCACTTTCATCAGTTTGTTTGATTTGCAGCTGGGATCTGTTCAGATCTGATGGTTTTTTTTTTACCAAAAACAAGACCCTGTTCTAGAGATGCTTGTGCTTCCAAAAGTAGATGAATTTTAAAGAGTTCAGTTGTGTCTCCAGGAGCAATACATCCTAGTGCAATTAATCCTCTTTGCCTGAAAAACACCGATAGCATTTGCTTCTTTGAGGAGCTTTTTGCTGCATGGTAGATGTACCAAAGCAGGAAATATATCACCTTTCTCTTGGATAAGTAGAACCAGAGATTAGGGAAGAAAGATCATAACTCACAATTTCTGGAAATAGCAAGTGGATACAGTACATCATTGCAACAGATGCAGAGTAGACACTTTTGTATTTATAAACAGTGCAATTCGATGAGTGGGGAGGCTACATCTGATTCAGATATTTTCCTTGTATAATGATTCTTTCTGTGATTTATTGGTTTTGACATTCTGCACTGTGAAAAGACGCTTTGAGAGAATGGCCATAGAATATGGATACCTTCATCATATGGGTAAGAATTCCTACACTTGCAAAAACACAATCATTTTCCAAGTTTCTTGTATTTACCTCTACTTCCTCTTCAAATCCCAGCAAACTGGGCAAGTATTCTGTGCAAGGTCAGATTTCACTAAACGGTATGCAGACGGTCGCTGTGCCCCTGTTACCCACAAAACAGGGTGCTAAGTGTCTCCTTGGGTGGTTTGCTCCTGAGAACAGTGGTGAGTCACCGCCCAGCTGGCTCCTCCTAAAGATTGCGTTGCCTATGCAGCAGCAGAGGATCACAGTAGACCATGTAGGAGCTGAAGATTTTACCTTTCATCTGTCAGCAGGTCAGTACCAAACAAGGAGGCTGTAGATGAAGAGCAAATCCAAGGGCAGGGCAACATCAAAACAGCCACAGCAACTGAAGTAAGTGAAAAAGGGGGCCAAGGCAAGGAATTCCCTAGGGTCATATTTCACTGCAAAACACACAGCAAGTAACATCTAACACCTTGCTGGCTTATCCTACTGATTGATGATAGAGCTTCTGGAGGAAGGGAATGAACACAAAACTAGAAGTGTTCCACCTTCAAATCGATTTATTATTGTAGCATTGCCTACCATGTCTGCTATATTTCCTACTTAAAAATTTCTGAGTTCCTAAATTCTAGTATTTTTCAAAAAGAGTGCACATTTTCAGTAAAACCCCAAGACTTGTCTCACTTCATGGTTGTATGACTTGATCTATATGCCCAGCTTGTCATAAACTTATCTATCAGGAGAGCCATGTCCATTATTTATGTGTTTTCATCTTTCATTTGTTTTCAAGTGATGACTCTACTTCTTATATCAGAAAAAAAACTGAAAAATTAAATCACTGTTCACCCCTCTGTTTTTACAGACTTCTAATACACCCAGTGTTAGTTGTATCTTTTCCAACCTCTTGAATCCTAGCATACTTAGTTATTTCTTGATACCCTTTGGTCAGCCTCTTTATTTAGCTCTGTATCTCTTTTCAGTATATTTTTTGAGACATGAAAGGGAGGAGCAGAGCCATGCCTTGTATCAAACGTTGCAGACACACCAAAGGTTCATCTAGTGGTATAAAAGCGTTTTTCATTTTGATTATTTAACTGTTACTGAGCACTTGAGGTAGTGTATGTGAAGGATTATTTGATTTGACTCTGAGTTCTCTTTACACATTGACAGCAGTCATCTGAGATTGCGTTACTTTATATGTTTTTTACCATTTATTCTAAGAACATTTTTCTCATGTACATCATCATAGTTACAGATTGAAGTCTGTTTACCAGTTGATGACCGAGACAGTATGTTTCACAAAGACTTTCAACAGTTTCTCATCCAGCCCTCGTTCTTTCTCCAAAACTTGTCTTCATCAGCGCTCTTTGACACCTCTATCGTTGGTCGCCTTTTGTAGACAGAGAAAATAGTAAACCTGAGTCTCTTTAGCAACTGCCTGCACTTGAAAACAGCTAGCTGACTTTGCTGAAGATGAGGCATACATATAAAAGCAGAAGAGTAGATAAAGGTCCTGTGGATGGTCAGAAACAGGTGCTCTCTTTTAGCTTGGTTAAATCCACTGCTGATGTGGTTCCATTCTCCACAAAAGCTGAGTGCCTTAAACTTTCATGTTTGTCCTCAGTGATGCTCTGTTGCTCTATGTAGAGATGAAGTACTGAGTTTCACGAGTAAATGAGCATCCCATCGTAGAGCAGGAAGACTTTAGCAACAGATGTACAGAGCCTTATCTTTCCTTAGTGCTTAGGAGAGTTACTTTTTAACTCCAACCA